GGTTCCTGCAGCGAAAAACTTTTGCGTTGCGAAAAGCGGAAAACTTGCGTTCTGTCCTAGCGAACCACCCCCTCAGTCTAATTCAGGTGAGCATTCTCTCTGATTGGGTAATTTATTATATGGATTTGTCAGCACTAGAAAAGAGCACTGTTTTTGAATTGGGGTCACAAGTGTTTGCACTATTATATGTGCTTCAAGAATTGGTATAGATGTACTGTTCGCGAACTTCCACTGTATATTACAGGATATTGGAATGTAGCCGTTTTCAGGCAGAGGATCGAGGTGTTCAAGAGTCGGTTGCAAGCAGACGATGGACGGAACCAATAGCTGTTCTGGTACGTAAGATATGTGTTTAGAAATGGTGCGAGTGATACGGACCAAGGCAGACTAGGTCATGGCCAATCCTTGAAAAAAGTGCCATGGTTTCTAGATGAGCCGACGACGCGTGCATCTCACTGGTCTCACAGGTGTACCTCTTTTGATGATGCCCTATTGCTCTGTGAAATTCTCGCGTTTTCAAAAATCGAGATTGGTCCAAAGGAATACTTCCTGGTGGTTCTATGCACTATATTCAAGATCAGGGTCTCACTGCCCCTTTCTCGATCCTTCCTCGTCCCCACATATCATTGCTCTTCGAATGGAAGTGAGTTTGCCCAAGGTGCCTCCGCTGCACCTCCACATCGAACCAGAAAAACAAGTAATATCAAGTGCAAAGCACAGTTGCGAATTATATCAGGGAACGTAGTCGTAATATCATCCTATAGCAAAGCCCTTAAATTATTTTTCTGGTGGTATGTAACATTAGAGCGTTGGAAATGCACGGTAACAGAAACTTTAAAACAATTTTCAAGCGAATTAACAGGAAGCGAGATTGGATGGTGTTAGTCCCTGCAGCCCCATTCGTTTTTTTTTCTCAGCGATGACGTGATATTCGGACCTCATGTTGTTCTTCAGAAGTCGATTATTCCTATTTTGCTTTTCTGTCTCAAAGAATAAGAATGTTTTAGTGATAATTACTTGTTTCAGGTCTTCGCTTGCAATCGAGCAGGGGCAGTCACCAACCTCATCAAACGTCTGATAGCGTGAGTATTGTCTTTAAAGACCTTTACCTTTTGAAGATTTACCTTTTAAAGATAAATTTGTGACTTATCGATTTGTTATCATGTGCCTGTCGTGTTGTCATTGTTTCTATGATGAATTGAAATTTCCTTAGGGAGATCTGTTCAAACTCATGAAAACCTTTGAATCATTAGATGCCCGTCAGACTTGGCTTTTGCCAATTACGAGCACCTTACGGTTCAGACGTAACATGAGTGCACTACTTTAGGGCTCGTACAGCACGTTAACAGTTAACCTATTGTTTTTGTCATGATAAGCTGGATAGCTATGATATAGTCTTGAAGTGACAGGAAAAGGAGATAATTTCCGTCAGCCATGACTGTGACATTTTTCTAAAGTCACTCGAGTAATGTTTTACGGCGATAGTTTGCTGCATGATTGCTATGCTAATTATAAAATGTTCAGGCTTCGTCCCTCTAAGGAGCAATTCCCAATCACAGTTAGTCAAGACTGCAATGATAAAGCAGTGCAAAAAGCTGTGGCTGAGTTTGGTGACGAGGTGCAGTATGTCAAGGTATGCTAGAAGATCTTCTCAGTTATTGATGTTTATGTGGCTCGGTTGTTTCAGCACAGGAGTGCGCAGGAAGCTCGTGTCGTTGTACCTGATAATCAAAAGCGTTTCGCTACCTACTATTACATTGCACGCCATTATAAGCTCGCTCTAGAGCACGTGTTCGACATTCTTGGACATGGCAGCGTTATTTTGTTAGAAGGTAAGCAAAATGTAATCTTTGGCTCTAATCGAAATTTTCTTCAATTTTCTGTTGTAGATGATCTCGATATTTCCATCGACTTTTTCGAGTATTTTCTCGCTACTCGGTATTTGCTAGATAGAGATCCCACACTGATGTGTGTATCCGCATGGAACGATAATGGAAAGGTTGAGTTCATCTTAATACTTTTGGATGTTACTGCTATGCGGACTGACCCGCGATCATCTTTTTCTTCTTATAAGCTTGTTTGATTCGTTTGAGGGGCCACAAAATTGTGTCTGGTTGGTGAGTACCCTTTCCATCACTGCAAGAATGCTGTACAAGAGGCGAAGGCAGTGCGATTTTCTGAAGTTTCTTTATTAAGGGTGCCCATTTTTCTTTTTTGGATGAGACCGCTGTTGAGAGGATGTTATTTTGTTAGGTTGCTGCTCCATTGACTTTCTGACAGCTGTAGCACACCCGCCTCGATGGCACTCAGCATTGTTATTCTCGGTTCTCAGTCCAGTCAGTTTGGGAAACTCGATCAGTGATTTATTGGAAAAAACGCCTACCTCAGTAATAACTCCTGTCCCCGGAGCACACCTCTATATCAACTTTCCGTTGGGGTAGTCTCGGAACCAGCTGTAATGCCTGGGCGTGGCAAGCTCTTCCTCATTCTGGTGCACGTCTCCTGTGAAGAGCAAATGACCTCTTCACCTTTGCCGACCTGCATTCACTTTTCTTCCGCGTCTCCAACTGTCTCGGGACTAGAATATAAGGTTTCGTAGCAAAGTCCTCCCAATTCATGTCCGTACCACCCCAATAGCACATGAAATCCCCTCCTTCTTCAACCTCTGTGCACTTTTCCCAAGTCTGGGTAATCGCGGAACCCAGTTATAAGGTTTTTGCCAAACTTCCTTACTCCGGCACGCCTCGCCCACCAGTAGCAAATGACATCTTCTTCTTCACCAATCTCGATCCATTTTTCGATCGCCAAGCAATCTTGAGACCGAATTGTAAGGTTTTATGATAACTGCGCCCACTTTGCACGCACCACCCGGCAATAGCACTTGACATCTCCTTTTCCACCAACTTCTATCCACTTTTTCCCATTTCCAGAGCTTTGTGGAACCGGATCATGCGGTTTCGTTGGGAGCTCTATTATGGTCATGCATGTAAAGTACTACAACAAACATAAATTTGTTATAGGCTGAAAATATTGATCTCGAGGCGAACACATTGTTATACCGAAGCGATTTTTTTCCTGGCTTAGGGTGGATGATGACTAGGTATGTGATTACATGAATATTTTTTTGCCCTTACTTAGGTTACTGGAAAGTTGGTTGTTGTGAGGTGTGGTTCACAAATTGATTTCAGTAAGTTATGGAGAGAGCTTCAACCCAAATGGCCTAATGGGTTTTGGGACGACTGGTTAAGAGAACCCGAAAATCGTAAGGTAGGGCTGCGTGCCTCTCATTTCTTTATAATAATGTCATTGTTCCTGTGATTTTTTTCACCGTGTGCAAAACTCTAGGGCCGCCAGTGCATTCGTCCAGAGATCAGCCGGACTGGTATGACACCTTCTGGGAAGAAAGGAGCGAGCAAGTAGGTATTGCTGTTGGAAAGAGTCATACACCAAAATCTACTACTTTTCAGGGGTCTTTTTTTCGACAAACATCTAGCGAAGGTGGTGCTCAACGCTGCCAGTGTTTCATTCACTTCCATGAATCTTGATTACCTTCTCAATGTGTGTTGTTGTTTTTCATGCTTTCCTTTTCACATTTCCCACATGCCATTGTCTTTTAGCCGGCGTACAATATCACTTTCAATCGCGATGTCTACCAAAATAGTCCGCTCATGTCCATTGACGTCGCTCTTGAGTTTTCCAAGTCGAACAGTCGCACTGGCCAAAGTGTGAGGTGGGTGAAATTTCATCTATCGTTTCATCTTTTACCAGTCTTGACCTGCGGCAACCGCCGGGACCTCCTCATTTCCTGTGTATGCTTTGCGCCTTTCGTAGTTGTGAGGTCGACACACTGACATACATGCTGGCAAACTGACACAATAAGCGGGCTGTTTATGCAATACCGGATTGGTCCTTGGGGTAAGATTGACCCCTTCCGCTATGCTTCCATCTGTGCACCAACACCTAGTAAAGGTGACGCGTATGCACAAAATGGTGTTTCATAGTGTAAAGAACATCTTAATGGTTATGACATTACGCTATAATGACATCTGCCTTAAGTGCCTTGGTTCTGCTG